TCAAAAGCTGATTGTTCTGTTTTATCTAAGCTATTCTTAAAGTTTAAAATTGTTCTTAACTGAAGATGGCTGAAAACATGCTGAAAGTTTTTAAAATAAAAAAATAATGGTTTGGTAACCTTAAAAAGCAGTATGGGCAATATTTTAATAATAATAATAACTCCTCTCCTGTGGTCACCACCTGGTCGTGGTGGGAGAGCCCAGTAATTTTACTGAACCATAGAGCAATGCAGGCTGGAGCACCTGCTCCTGGTAGGGACATCCATGCCAGTAAGGTCTATGGGGAGAAATGAAGCTAAGAGTGACCACACCCACATTCTGTGGAGATAATTATTATGTTATTATGGTAGTAACCAGATCTAAGTGTGATACCGGCTCGGACGTCACCCGAGTTAACAAGGTCCGTGTTTGTGGGTTAGGCAGGAACTGTGAATTTTATTTATATCATTTTTTCATACTATTCATATTTTTTAAAGTAAATGGTAAAATGATTTTGTAAATCAGAAATAGAGGTATAACTCTGTTTCTGGATTAACATCTAAATAAATAAATTTTTGTATTTTTTTTCATGTATTGAATGATTATTTCATACTAAGAGCTATTTTCACAACCATTCTATTGCCTATTGTTTTTATAATTTTTTAATCATATTCCATAATCATAACTAACACAGGAACCCCAGTACTTGCTCCAGCATTCGATTTATTAATAACAAAACATTTTTTAATTTAAAAAAAGATAATGATGATTTTTGGATCATTTTCTTTGTGAATGACATTGAGGGGGGAGAGCTGAATAGGATGAAATTGAGATAAATAAATTTCAATGTGTACAGTACATTTATGAAGTAACAATGTTAGAGTGCATGTAGGCACTCTAACATTGTTACATCATAAACATGTAACAATGCATGTACAGTACTCTGTATTTCAGTGTGTTTAGTATATGTGCATAGTATTTGTCAGCTGACTTTAATGATTAAGTCATGTGGAATGCATTAAAATGGATATATTTATGATTTTATAGAAAACTAATATAAAAACCATACATGTATGATTTTGATATTTGTACATTTTGTGAAATTTTTATTGATAGGTTTTGTTTAACAATACTTAAACAGTTTACTCTGGATTTAATTACAAGCAAAATAATAATATGTCAAATTTCAACAGTTGAATTTAGTGTAATTGGTATGCCTTTTTTCCTTAAGACATTTACTGTTCATGTAAAGTTCCAGAAAGGGATCAAAACAAAAATTTAATTTCAAATTAATTAAAAGCAAAAGCACTATTGTTGAGTTGGACTAAAGATTATGTTAGTATTTAAGAGAGAGGAGAGAAAAACAACTGTAGTTGTTAAAACAAACGCAAAGACGATTGACATAACAGATTAGGTGAAATGTTGGCCAGAGAAGATAGAACTATGATATGGGTACTCATAAACAATCGATCTAGATTAAAAGGTCAAAAAAGGAGAAAGATTTGATGGATAGAAAAACATTGCATATGATCACTAAAGTTCCAAGGTGACAGAAATCACAAACAATGGGCTAAATTATGAGCGCAAGGCTTATGGTTCTATCAACAATCTCCAGGCATAGTCGATGAAAAGGTGTCGAATAAATGCTTCAAATGCTTGGACCTTTCTTGTGATCTGATCAAGGCTTGGTTTTTACCTGGAAACAAAGGAGAGACTAATTGGAATGTGAGGAATGAGATGTGGGGCCAATCAGAAATATGGTTAGCAGGAGAAAAACTATAAAAATTGGTAAGGTCGAAGGACTTTGGGCTCAATCCAGAGGAAGACAGTTGTGTTCATTAAGTTGTATTGTGTTGCTATCGACCATATAGGATGCCACCACATCTTGGCTGATCATCCAAACCTGTCCAACAAACTCTTATCGTCTGCCCCAGGGTTATAACCGATAGATCGAAACTTTCGCCACTTCAAAGGAACACTGAGATTTGGGAACTGTCTAATATCAATGTAAACCTACATTCAACAAAATAAATGGCTTTTAACTTTATAAGACACTTCTCATCATTCGTCTCATCCACCACAACCCACATACGAACATCCCTTAGGTTTATCCTGACACAGGATAAATTGACTCTCCCCTAAAAGTCAGCTTTTTTACATTATATAAACTTTGTAACTAAAAACAGTTCTGTTTTATAACTAAAAGACATTGTTTAATATTACTAATTACTTATTATTATTTTTTTTTATAAATGTGAACATTTATATTGTAAAGATAGTGTTTTAAGGAGTGTTCGTTCATTGAGGTGTGTTTTTAGGTACTTCAAGTCTATAGAAAGTTTTTCTATCTCACCTTGTAATTTCTCTTCCTTTCTGTGATCTTGGTGTTGGCTTCTTTGCATTTTGCATAGAATAAAACACAATACTAGTGTTTATTACGCCAACTAAATTACTGTTAGTCTATCAAAGCTTGTTATTACAGAACATAATTTAAATAGTTTGTTCTTTTTAGTTCAAAAGCTGATTGTTCTGTTTTATCTAAGCTATTCTTAAAGTTTAAAATTGTTCTTAACTGAAGATGGCTGAAAACATGCTGAAAGTTTTTAAAATAAAAAAATAATGGTTTGGTAACCTTAAAAAGCAGTATGGGCAATATTTTAATAATAATAATAACTCCTCTCCTGTGGTCACCACCTGGTCGTGGTGGGAGAGCCCAGTAATTTTACTGAACCATAGAGCAATGCAGGCTGGAGCACATGCTCCTGGTAGGGACATCCATGCCAGTAAGGTCTATGGGGAGAAATGAAGCTAAGAGTGACCACACCCACATTCTGTGGAGATAATTATTATGTTATTATGGTAGTAACCAGATCTAAGTGTGATACCGGCTCGGACGTCACCCGAGTTAACAAGGTCCGTGTTTGTGGGTTAGGCAGAGGCTCATGTTCAAAAAATAGGCTCCAGTCTCCCTTGGTTACCGGTGGCTAAAGCAGCATCGCCCCAAGCATGGCTACTGCAATGTCCTCAACAGATGTGAGGAATCAACCTAGCCTTGGTGTTTCTGTGGCAATACATCCACAGACCACAAAGGCTGGAAAACCACGCCAACGGATGAAATCGACAACAGAAATGAACAAGTTTATCATCTGTACTTACTACACCATCATAAGACTCGAAACAAATGTGAGGCCCCAAAAAAAACGGGTTGAAATTAAATATTTATTATTAGAAATTTATTAAAACAAAACTAGAAAAAATCGTCTATTGTTAAAAACCAATCAAAGATCGAATTAGTTGTGTTAGTCATATGAAACCGCAACGAGAGAAAAAAAAACGCTATTGATGTAAACTGAACACAATAATTTTAAATGATTAATAATTGTAAACAAACGACCTCCAGTAGAGATGGACCTTTGAAGAGTCGCTCATATGCACATAATTAGAACATAGAAATTTATGACGAAAAAGGACGTCGTGTCGTTAAATTTCAAAAACGTCACAGACTAGACAACAATGGTGGAAAATATGAGCGCAAGTTTCAAACTTCCATCAACATTTTGCATCCAGAATAACGGATGGTGTCAAGTAGATTCTTCAAGGCGGATCTATCTTGTGACTCAAAAAGGAATCGTCTTTCGCTTAGAGACAGACGAGGGAGCCAATCAGAATAAACAAATTAGAGAACGGAGATTGATATAATCCCCGATCTTAAAGGACAGAGGGACCTCTTCCGTAAACCTGCACTCCGGAAAGTTTGAAGCGAAAAACTCACAGAAGACGAAGATTCCGCACTAGTGACCATTGAGAGAGCCATGCCGCCGACGCTTACCGACAAGTCTCCTTACCTGCCGCAGTCCCGGGGCCCATCTCCGAGGGACGATAGAAAAACATCCACGACACTTAAAACTTACGAACATTTAATTGGTTAAGGAACTTTGTGCATAGTGTAAGTTATTTCCTGTTAAATTAAACAAATTTTTGTTAGATACTTGTCATCTGTGTCTCCTCCGCCACACCCACACACGAATGACCCTAGATCATCCTGACACAGGATTAACGATTCCTCCTGGAAGTCGGCGAACTTACACAAACATGACAGCATACAGACAACAACTACACCATAGATTCACACAATATCCTCACCTCACTGTCACCGAACAAAGGATTGTTGATCAAAAAAGAACAATTCTACACAACAAACTTATCCCACAAACAACACTTGAAATTATCAAACAACAAGTTGCTGATTAACTACATCAACAGACAGAAACATTTAACATTAACGAAGATCATGTAACCTGTCAGGATAATCCAGCAACAAGCATTGATAATAGTATATATGTTACCGCTAAAGCTCGAAATCCGTTAATGTGCGCATTACCTAGCTAATCTGCAGATTAACTAGGGTGATCCGTTAAAGCTGCAAAAATTATTCCATTTCTCAAATTACCTAGGNATTGTTAGGAAATTCCAGAATACAGACACACACACTGACACACTTATTTAACTTCTGTCTTGTTTTGTTTGCTGTGACTTGACTCTTATCCAGCATAGTACACAGCAACCGGTGTCAACAGAGTATAAGTCACTAAACCCAACATAATAATAATTATTATTATTATTAATTATTATCGTAGACTCTGCTTACTGTAATCAACTTGAGACTTAGCTATTTACTGTTTAACAGTTATTGTTATCAGTATAAGTAAGTAAATAAGACTAAAATTAATAGATATTCTTTTTTTTATTGAATCACGTTAATTGTTTTAAAATGTCCTTTTAATTACTATTAATTCATTCAATGTATAATTAAAGTAAGAAAAATACCAGCAGTTTCAACTACTACAGTGTGAACAGGTCTTTTTTAATGTAACTAATTAATATTGATGATGATCGCACATTTTTCACATGTGTTGACTATGATAGCTTGTAAAGATGATTCAGAAATGCTTATTTACTGTAGATAATGATGGCTATAATCAAGTTTAACTCAAGTTTTTCAATATTCTAATTCTGATAACATTAGTAACTGATAACAATATCTATAGTTTACGATAAGCAGGTTCTATTGTATTTACACATATTTAGCAGAAAATAAACTTTAAATCTATCTTCATTTAGGCAGCAGCAATGAAGTTACATAAAGAATTCAAAAATTTTGTGTCTTGTGCTAGAGGTAAGTTTAAATAGTTTTTTTTTTTTTTTTGATAAAAACTGTAAACATTTTAGTTAAAAGTATGATAATTAGTATTAAAGGAAAAAATAAATGAGTTTAATCATCAAATCTTAAAATATTATTTTTATTAATTTATATAATTCTTATGTATTGAGTGATTAAGTGCTGCTATGTACTATTGTTTAGAAAAATATGTATATTAGCAGTCTAAATGCAACAAAGTTTGGTATGGTAACAAAATATGTGGAAGACATTTCCATAAAAAAGAATTAGTATCAAAACTCACTACTATGGCACTTTTGATACTGCAGATAACAAGCATTTTATTTGTACAAAACATTCATGCTAACAGAAATCTTTTAGTAGTATCTTCTGCATCACTATATGACTCCATTTATGGCTGATCATAGGTGATCCTCTGTGATACTTTTCATGAGCAGTGTGATTACTGTCTTTTAAGGCTGCCAAAATTTGTAACATGTCCTCAATAAACCATACTCTTAAAGAGTGTTTACAATCAAAAATCACATGGATTAAGATCCAGAGGTGATTAGTCAGGAAACACATGACTTATTTTGTTATTTATGAAATGTAGAAACTGCTGTATGCAGCATTTGATATGTAGAGATGCTTTATCTTGCTTGAAAGTGATTGACAAAAAGCATTATTGCTATTGTAATTGGAATATGACAATTGCAATAGCAATAATGAGTATTGAGCATTTCTTGATATCTCTGAGCCATTATAAAGCATGTCATGGGCCCATTGGGGCTAACTTTTTTTATGAAGAATGATACAAGGATAAATGTGCCCAGAATCTCTACTAGACTAATTTTAGGCAAGTACAATAGACTCTTCTGGAAGGCATTTTTCTTGCAGCTCAACTATGACAGTTACAGGTGTTCACTGTTCCACTGAGTTAAAAATGTGTTTTTGCTCCACAGGATCTTCCATGGTCACAGTACATCCATATTATTGTAGCAAAAAAGGGTAATGCAAACATTAGTCAGGCTTTTTTCTGTTGTCAGCAAAGAATTGCTTGTGTTTGATCTTAGGATAAGCTCACATTTGCACAGATGGAACAGACAGAATTGCATTGGAATGTGCACTTTTGGTTGCATTGGCAAATCAAGCTAAATTTAGAACAGAAGAAAAAATGAATGTATTCAGATGAGGTGGTTTTTTCCTGGTATGAGTAACATCCATGAAGAATTATAAGTAGTGAACTTTCTATTCTTAGAAGTAGATGTAAATTATATAATTTTTTATAGCTTTGTACCAGAGAAATTAAAGTCACATCTGCCACAGCAAGAAAAGTGGATACAAATGATAGTGTTCTTCCTCAAAAATGAAAAAAATTTCTGTGAATGAATAGTGCCAGGAGGTTTTTGACAACTGGGAATCTAGGTTATTGACCTTGATGGTTCAAGGCAAACAGGAGAAAATGTTGCCTCTTCAAGAATATGAGATTGTTTTCATTCCATTTGACTTGTTTTTTTCATTCATTCAATCATCCATCCATCCATCCATAACTTAGAAAAAAATCCTCACTCCCATTTATGTCTGTTCCAGCTGCCTCATCCATTCATTTGTCTAGATCAGTGATTCCCAAACTTTTTCAATCCACCGCCCCCCCTTTGTTCCATAAAGTTATACCCTATGCCCCTAACCAAAGTTTTCCTAAGAATATTTCCAATCCTTTCTCACACAAGAGATTTTCTCTTGTGTGAGAAAGGATTGGAAATATTCTTAGGAAAACTTTTCTATGAATCTCACACTTTGTGCCCTTACCATACATTGTTCTCAACATCTGGAAACCATTAAACGCAATGTTTCCTCTTATCAGTTTAACAAAGGTTAGTCTGTGTGAGCTACATAACGGCTTTCAGTGATCCCAATTTTGCCTTTGGTTACCGTTCAGTATGCTGCCTCCAGCACCCCCTAGATTTATTCATCGCCTACAAGAGGGCATTATTGCTCACTTTGAGAAATGCTGGTCTAGATGGCTGGATGAGCAAGCAGTCAAGTGGCAGCCTATCACTCTGGGAAACCTGGGATTGAATCCAGATGGGTCGAAAAAATCCCAGGAATTTTTCAAAGGATGGTCTGTCTGGATATGTTGGGCCCTGTTCTTCACCACATGGCTGCCCCATTGTGGGCCTGGTCAAACCCATAATGGGCTTGCTAAAAGAGGCCCTCTTTTAGCACACCTCTTAGTGCCCACAGGGCAGAAAAGTTTTTAAAAAAAAGAAAAAAAATTCATTTGCCAATTGTGCACTTACCCTTATATGGATAATTATAAACCAACTTTTTTGGCTCCTTCCATATGGTGCTATAGGACAACTTTTGTGTACATAAGATCTATTTTTTATCTTAAAAATGTGTTGTGATCGACTTGTTGTTGTAGGCATAGTTTAAGTGGCGAGGAGAGGTGTGAAATACATACTATGTTTAGATAGGTAAGAAAAGCCACAATTTAATTTGAAACATGAAGAAAAGATACTTACATTTTAAACAGAAGAAAAATTGAAACTCAACATTGTCACTTTCGGGGACCACACTTCACCCTTCCTCTCTCTATTGTGTCCCGTCCTACTCTGTCCCTCTTCCTGCCTTTCTTTTTTTTTGGTTTTACGACCCTTTGTCTACATTTCTTATTCCCCTTTTACAACTGTACGCAAATGGATTGCACATGAACCGACAAAACCGCATCTGAGGGAGGATGCGGAAGTCTGATATCACTACAGTTGCATTTGCACATTATGTTCAGTTACAAGTGTAACACATTAAGTCAAGACATCACAAGCAATCGACCAAAATTGGCTTTGCAATTGACTTGTTGGCCACCCCTGCTATAGGATACATCCAACTACTGTGACACTGCACTTGCACTACTGGAGCCAACAACATCTTCAACTTGTGAAATGATAGGTTTAAGCCATCAACTAGGTTGAACTCATGACATTCAATTTTCTTGAATGATCATTCTCTTGAGAAGTTGGGGAGTCAATTGTTCTCAATGCATATTCTTACAAGGGTAAAATTCTCAAAGTGCAGTTGCAGCATTGCCAATGTTTTTACACAATAGTCTCAAACCCTCACATTCTGGCAAGGTAATGGCCATTATAGATGATACTGTATTTTCAGATATGCATGTCGCATAAAAATGGGGAGACCAGCATGCCAGAAACCCAGAAATTACTGGAATGCCAGTTAAACTGCAACTAAAATATAAAATTAATCAGATCTAACAAAACTAGTTGTTAATTAAACGTTAAAGAAAACTTTCTTCTGAGTACAATAGAATAACAACATTGTCATTTGACTGACTTGTAAATTAAAACTCTTCCTGACTTTTAAGACAATAAAACAATGTCAATAAGTCATTAATTTAATTGTTTTACTAATACTAATGAGTATTAGTTAGTAACTAATACTAATGAGTATTAGTTAGTCTGTGTGAGCTACATAACCATCTACCCTGACCTTAAAAATAACACCTTCCTCTGAAATTTTACACAAAACTGATGTTAATGGTATAAGCTGAGATAATTTACAGTGAGTTTCTTAAATTAATATGTTTATTTTTGCATTTTTGAATCAAATAACAATAAAATACACACAAAAAAAGCACCAAGAGTATTTTTTGTTGTTAGAAAGAAGACAAAATGAAATTAAATATATAATTGTAATTTTTGATGTAATGCTGACAGTTTCACAGTTTTAGAATGAAAACTTATTTGTTTTTGTGTGATGTAACTCGTTCATTTTTTTTAATGTTGCTTCTAGAAAAGGATATATAACTTCACTTAAACCAGCATGTTGGTTTTTACCACATGGAAATATCTGATTTCATGGTCTCCCTGGACAGACTGGCATGCCTGGTCATTCTGCAAAAATATGGTAAGAATTACAATTTCGACCACTTTTAAACCAAGAACCTGCCTGCATGTGTTATGCAAAGGAACCTGCTTTTTTTGTTGCTTGCAGTGCTAGAAGTTGCCATAGTGGTGAATTTTGGACTAATTTTTTTTTCATGGAAATCTCATAATACCAGATTTGATTGCATTTAGATGACTAAATATCTCTAGATAGTGTTGAATAGTAGTATTTTAATTGTGATCACTTGATATATACTGTTTTCACTATCAATTTTATTCATCACAGAGAAAAATATAAAATTTTAATTTTTATATCAATTAGTAGCTGGCAGAAAGTCATATCAGCTGACATCAAATTACAGTTTATATATTGGATACAATATTACAAAGTTCTACTAATAGAAAGTACACACTTAAGTATTATATTTACCAGACATTTCCATATTGATCATTAAGATATATAATCAAAATAATTAACAATTTACAATGTGCTGTTATGAAACCCAATTTCAAATTGGCATTTAAACATAGAACTTGAATTTTTTTTGTAAATATAACTCAAAATATGCAGTATAAGATTTAAAACAGCTCTATTAATAAATTTTAGAGAACCACATTTATGATTTTATTATCTTCAATCATTTTAATCTTGTTAATCAGGTTGATAATTTCTCACAGCTCACACTATCCAGGTTAATGATGTATATTTTTTATTGTGGTAACCTTTAAATATTACATATGCATTTTGGGCTAATGTATTATCTTAGCCCCTCTTCAAAGATATGAGAGTAATTATAACATGGAACCATTGGCATACAACTTAAGAAATGAAGTATAAGCATACAGACACTTCAATTGTTATTCTTTTAAATCACTGTAATTTATTATAATCATGTTAGGATATGGGCAAAAGTGCACTAAGAGTTTTATCCATTTTTACATCGACTATGATCTCAACATCAAAAAATTTTTACATATTAAACCTACAATAACATCAATAAAAAATAAAATATTCCTTACTAATTTGTTCAAATATGGTAAAATAGAGAGGTTGCAGCTGATGTTTTCATCGCAAAAACATGTACGTCGGACGTTCAGTGCCGCCTTCCTATAAGCCTAGAAGTTTGACAATGGTGTTTGGAACATCAGTGGAATCATGCTCGATGTTCCAAACGCCATTGTCAAACTTCTAGGCTTACAGGAAGGCAGCACTGAATGTCCAACGTACATGTTTTCATCGTGAAAACGTGTACATCAGACTGAAATCTCTATATTATTATAATTTAAAATTTAAAACATAACTGAATTCCCACTTATTTTCTATTAAGGACCCTGGGAACCTTAATAGAAAATAATAAGGAAATAAGGAGAATTTCATATGCACATTGGGAAACAAACCTATAATTTTTGCATTTTGAATTTTTGTTTGCAAATTTTTTTTGTATTTATAAANTAATAGACCAAAATTATACATAAAAAAAAATTTTTTTTTACATATTTAATAAAGCTCTAAAAGCCTCGATTTGTAATTTGAAATTTTGAAATCCATGCTATTATAGCAGACAGGAAAGCACAGTATGTGATGGACGGGTCATAGTACTAACTGGTGCAGAGTTGCCATCGCTGATTCTGCTGCTTCAGTACAAGAGGTACCTCTTAGATTTTAGACTTTCATTCACAGAGGGATTTGTAATTAAAAAAAATAAAAAATCAACACGTGGGGCAGCCTTTATCGGAAATATTACTAACTGTGTCAGGAAGACAACGTTGGTCGGAGATATTAACTCTTTGCATGAAGAGCGTATGTCAAGACTGTTTCTTTATTGCTTCTGGCAATTATCATACTCAGAGATGCAATTGGAGGAAAGTGAGAGGGAGTTATTAATTTGGAATAAAAAAACGTCTCGTATTGCCGCCGATACGAAGGAAAGGTTGAGCTTACTGGTAACCTAAAGAATTATGATAAAGTTACATCCGATTAGTAATGCTCGTAGCGAGGTTTGGAGAGGTGCGTCCTCGCTTTAACGACAGACGGAAAGTTTCTTTGAAGAGTCGGAGTGGTCGTCCGTTAAATATGGCTTTTATTTTATTTTTAATAGCTGTATAAATGCAAAGAGTTAGTATAATCAAGGATCGAACCGAGAGAATTTTACAAGTTTTGCTTGACCTTTCTACGATATTTAAAACACAGTTCGTCGCGCTTAACATAATTTTTTTTGTATTTATAAAAAAATTTCTCTTATAAATAAGTATCCCATTTAGTTATACAGCCATATGTGGAAATATGCATTGTTTAACATCTTTTAAAACTGCAGTAACCATTTTAAAGTGTTATGATACTAAATTACATACAATAAATTTGTGTTTAACCATTTTCTATCACTTATTATATTGCAACTTGATATGCAGCAATGGTATACAATGATTCAAAGGACTGTTGCTCCAAATATGATCATAACTGTTGGAAAAATGGATTCAACTAAACTAATTAGATGATTTTGCAATGAGAGAAACTAAGATGTATTGTCCTAGTATTTCATGGATCTCTTTGCCTTGTTAAAAGATGCACATCTGTCTGGCAAAGACTTAAATTCTGAAATTTTATCCAGGTGATGGTACCAAACATTGATTAGCATTTTTGTACAAAAAATGCTATACAGTTTTATGGGTTTTCTTTGTGATTGATATTGAAATAGGGTCAGTTTCTTATAAAAGTCCTTCTAGGAATTACCCTCTTTGGCAGATTGCCCATGTCTTATTGTGACTGAATAAGTGAACTGAAATAGAAACCTGTAAAAACCATTTATATTTGTGACTAATCTTTTTGCAAAGATTTCATCCCAATTCATTGTTCCTGTTTCCCATCAGAATACAGTAGAACCTCGATTATCCGCCCTCCGATCAACCGACCCCTCGGTTAACCGACCGTCCTAGTCGGCAAATTTCAAATGTCCGCTAGTGATGTGGCGCTACAATATTTGGCTATGTCTTGGCTACTTTAATATTATTTTTATGTGTTTTAGCTGGCAACACTCATTCGACCATGAAAGGGAGTCAGTATTTAAACGAAGCTTAATTTTCTAATTTTTAACGATACAATAGTGACGATTATTATTTTAAAAAATTTTTGTTAGGCTTAACATCGATGAAAATTCAATGCAAAATAGGTTAATAGCGATATACTAATTACATGGGATATAATAATATACTACACTAATAATGGATTTTTTCATACTTTTCGGTTATCCGACTTTTCAATTATCCGACCAACCCCAGTCCCCAATTAGGGCGGATAATCGAGGTTCTACTGTAATTTCCCAAACAACTTATTTTTTACATTCAATGTTTTGTTTTGTATATGTGCAAATCATTCACATGGACATAATTAATAGAAGATAATACAGGATGACTGAACTATTAGAAATGAGTCATTGATAATAAATATCTTGTATTAATTAAAATTGAAGACAAAAGCTGTTGAAACAGTCAACTTTTATTCACTTTTATGTTCTGGAATAATTCCATGTTGACCTGATCTTTTCTTTTAGGATACTTGGTCACCAAAGTTTAAAAAGTTTCCTTAAAACGAGGCGTATCCAATTAAAAATTAAAACATTTTCTAAAACTAGAATGGAAACAAACATATTCCAGAACATGAAAGTGAATAAAAGATGACTGTTTCAATGTCCTTTGTCTTCAATTTTAATTATTATGAAATGTCACCAGAATAAATATTTATATTTATATCTAGTAGTTCATTTAATATATCTAGTAGTTCATATAGAATTTTTAAAATTCTTATTAACACAAAATAGAGTATTAAAAGTAACTTTATAATAATTTTTTTTATCATTAATTTAAACATTTATGTATAAAAATAATTTTGATTTACTTTATTATAACATGTATAATTCTAACTTTGTTGACTTTACTTGTTAACTAACTGGATAAATTATATAAATATTTTATTTTTAGAATACATACTTTTGAATTATATGAATTATCTGAATCCAAATTGTGTTTTACTAAATTTTTTAACTAATATTTTTTATAAATCAATAATAGCAATTAATATGTGATTTTATTTTAAAACATTTAATAAAGTTCAAGTTTATGCAATTTTTCAGCTATGCAAGCTGCCAGTAAAGGTTTGATTGATGCATTGAGTCAAAATTATGAATCAGACTGGGTAGGCTATGACCAAATTCATGCAAGATCACAGGTGAGTTTATAATTTTTTAATATACTTTTTATTTGAATTAATTATATTCAATTATGTTTTTACATGGTAGCTATGTTCCTGAAAAATCTGTGTAAAAAAGATAGTCCATATGAAAAAAATGGAAGATTACTGGTTTTTAAGGTCTTGTACCAAAGATATAACAATATCAATTAATATACTAGGATGTGTTTAAACAGATCCTGGTGTAATGATACACTGTAGAGTTGCTTTATGAATCAAACAAAATATTTCAATTTTAGTTAAAAAATTAGAGAAGGGACAAATGTAATTTACTTATCAGTAAAATTCAATAAATTTTTATGTTATATGCACAAATTTTTTCAACTCTTTCAATTAAATGCCAAATGATGTACAAAAACTATTCCACATTGAAAGAATCTGAAGAAATGCAATCATGCAAACAATTAGTTAAAATTTACTTGGCAACTTTGCATCATAATCTTACATAAAGAAACTAAGAGATAAATGCTCAGTTTAGGATACCAAAAAGATTTTTATATAGAAATGTTTTTGCTCTGTTTAGAGAAAAGCCTTGGCTTATCTTTGAAAAAAGAATATTAGCTGTTGTAAGAAATTGTAACAGATTGAACAGTATATGTAATCGTGGATATTAAGCTATAACAAAGTGGAAATAAATAAGTGACATATATTAGTATTTTACATGAAAATAAGAAGTATGACATAAGGCCATAATGGAAAAGACACATTCTGAGTTGACCTTATTAAACTTTGCTAATAATTTAATTATCAAAGTTTTGGTTGTGTAATTTTAACTTTATACATGAGGTATACATACATATATTCTTTTACATACCTAAACCACATCTTTTGATAGTTAAATTATTAGCAAAGTTTTAATAGTTTAATGGGTCAACTCAGAATATAAACTTCCCTAGTCCTCATCAACATGATTTTTTTTTTCATTATAATAACACAATGTATTTTTAGTTTTTATGTAAAATATTAATATACATTATTTATTTCCATTTTGTTATAACTGTAACTAAACATCCACAATTACATATATTGTTTGATCTGATGCAATTTTTATAATGGCGATATTCCTTTTTTTCAAAGATGCTGGTCTCTAATAAAAACATTTCTATGTGAATCTTTTTGGTATTCTGAACTAGATATTAGTTAAACTTTTGAAGAAATCCAGAAAAAATTTAATTCAATCATGGGATAAAGTTGGAGTGAAAGACTGATTGATTGTTACTACACATGTCCAAATAAGTTGTAAAAGCAGCCAAGTCTTAAAATTTACTTTAGCATGTATAACAATGATAAGTGTAAGGTCTGATCAATAAGTACCTCACAATTGCTGAGGTGGTTAAGACATCAAAATACTACTCTTGGGACTCACTCACCGGTAACCAAGTGATTAAAGTCATTGAACACTAGTAGTTGGTTGTGAGTTTGTCTCTCTCCAACAGATTTTTTTAACTTTTTCCACTCTGTGGACCCTGAAAGAGCCTATGTTAGCAAGCTTATTATGGGTTTGGCTGGGTCTACAATGGGGCAGCTGGGTGGTGAGGGACAGGGCTAGACACATATCCTGATGGACCACCTCTTGAAAAATTCCTGGGATTTTTTTGACCCATCTAGATTTGATCCCAGATCCTCAGAGTGGCCTTATTCTAACAATCAAATCCTGGGAACACTGAAATTGAATCTGGGCAAATCCCATGAAAAATTCATGCCCAGATGTTCCTGTCTCTCATCTGATGAGCCTGGGCCTGGTCAAACCTATAATGGTTATAAAAAAAAGATTGTCTTAGTGATCACAAGAGGGAAAGAATTTTTTTAAAAAATGCAAATTTTAAAAATTTTTTAAAAGAACAAGTTTCTAAAAAAGAAAGTGTGAATATTTTTTCTTACAATTAACATTAAATAGAGATTTAAAGACAAATTTATTGAAACATTAATTCAAAACTAATTTGTGTAAAGAAAAAAACAAAACATGTAAAAATAGAATCTAGTGAATTTAATTTAATGTATATNACATCATTAATAAAAATATAATTTTTATGGACGTTAAATAATGGTCCACTGCTCGTTTAAACTCAACTGTTTGTGCAATATCCACTATTGGTCTAGATTCAACTAATCCTGTCGTGACACGAGTCGATGATGATGTTTACCGTATTATACGAGTCTCTTATTAGCGTGTGTATACAAATACGATTGCAAATTTTTTGCCGTATTATATGAATCCATATTATATGAACCCGTTTTATAGGGGGTCTACTGTATTAATATTTTTCGTAACATTAGAGGTATTATAATTTGATAATGAAAAATCTCTATAACTTTTAAAATAATAAAATTTTATCATGAAAGAACTCATTCCTTCTGTAACAAACACACATCTGGTTTTGAAAATGTTTTTTACTTGAAAAAGTGAAAAACATTCATATCATTTTTAAAAATATAGAAGAGACTCAATTAATGTATTATCTGTCTTCCTGGATGTGAAAATGCAGGTATGGCAAAATATATCTGATTTATGTCAAATAGTTCTTTTTTTTCAGAAGACTGGAATCTATTCAAAATAATTTAAAACAAGTTTTAGGAGATCCAATACAAAGAATATTATACTGCCAAGTCTTCACAAAGTTTTGTCACTATTTGATAGCTATTTTATCAGTAGAATTATATAAAATAATGCAATATAGAAAATTAAAACTTTATTATTTTTTATTTGCTAACAAAATGTAATGTAAATATGAAAAGACTGGAAAGATGATGATAAAAATTTTTTAATTGAGCAGTTATTAGACAGCTAAGTTTTTATATACAGTAGAACCTCGATTATCCAGACTAATTGGGGATGAAGGTAGTCTGGATAAGGAAAAATTTAGATAATTGAAACAAATACTTTAATTTGCCTTTTAATGATAATACAACACGTTTTCTTTTCGATGACATATCGGTAATATTAAAAGTAAATACTGTATTTAAATCGTGATCAAATTTTCAAGAAACAAACATTCGTATTGAATTTGGACTACTACTAACCAACGCTAACAGACTACCTATTGTTTAAAAGGCCCTCTGGTGGCTCAAGAAGACGGATTTTATAAAATAAAAAGCAGTTGAAACTGCATTTTTATGAATAAAAATTTGACAAACTATTTATCGTTTTATGATGATTAAAATTTTTTCGTCGCGTTCGTGGCTTTTAAGGAATGCATAAACCTTCGAAACGCGAGGCATAGGCAGTGGCCCATGTTGCCCATGCCTTACGCCGCCCTTGGTCATAGAAATGATGTAATTTGAAAATAAAATTATTTATAAATACGTATGTCAAGTTATATTTTTATTACGACGCAAAATATATTTAAGAGTTTACAACCACTGTGCTGGATGAGACGTTGTTGAAACAAAAAAAGTTATGCATTCCTTCACGTACATAAACAGTATTGTAATTCGCCAAGTGCAAATCAGCAAATTTGTAAAATTTTTGTTTATTTTGAACAATCTGGATAATCGAAAATCCTGGTAATAGCGGATAATCACGGTTCTGCTGTATAATCTTTTAATTAGATTAACAATGTTGGCTAAACCATAATATTAGCTGATTTCAATTAAATCAGAATTATTAATATATAAATATACTTGCTTAAAAGAATATTATAAAAGTGTTTAAAGAGGTTATTTATTTACTCTACATTTATAGTTTTATTTGAATTTAAAATGTAAGTCAATATTTAATAGTGATTTACTAATTGGAAGTTAAAATAGTTTATGTAATTTATTCAATTAGAGAATAGAAACATTTTGAAATACGTATATAAATTTAACTAATTATCTCTTTAAAATAAAAAGAATACATTATTTATTATCTGAGAATATTGAAATTGGTAAAGTGATACTGGCAATATTTTGGTACTTAATTTTTTAAAAATTTCTTCTAGAGTAAATAAATTTTCTTCAGAAAATTGTAAAAGATTACAATAAATATTTTTATACAAACATGATATGGTATACAAGCTGATGATGCATATAGTCTGTTCTTTGCAAATACAAAAGCAGCATACACTGCTTTCAAATTGACTTTAAACATAGATAACCTGTTGGTTATATGTAGAAAATTATGGAAACTTTCTAAAACTTATTTCATGTATTTAAAACAGTTATCTTAATATTATTGAATATAAATAATGTTTAGTACAGTAGACCCCTCTATAATACAGTAGATACATTCCGTTTTATATAAATTTTGTGTTTTATGATCACTTAAATACATGAGCCAATCATAGCCCGACATGTGTGCAGTTTAGGGACTATGGCGTTTGAAAGGTTTTCTTCCATAAAATTAATTGATTCTAGACTAATTCGACTCAACATTTCCAAAACATGTATAATTTTTTGGGAATAATCCATATAAACTATGCTATAAACAAAAATTGTAGGATTACTTACCAATTTTGCACTGTTAGACAATGCCATTGCTTAAGCTTGTTTTCATCATGGAGCGGTGTATCGAACAGCGGGCGCGTATTTCCTGATCAGCGAATTTTTCACAGAAAAATAACTTAACTTTGGAGACATCATTAATAAAAATATAATTTTTATGGACGTTAAATAATGGTCCACTGCTCGTTTAAACTCAACTGTTTGTGCAATATCCACTATTGGTCTAGATTCAACTAATCCTGTCGTGACACGAGTCGATGATGATGTTTACCGTATTATACGAGTCTCTTATTAGCGTGTGTATACAAATACGATTGCAAATTTTTTGCCGTATTATATGAATCCATATTATATGAACCCGTTTTATAGGGGGTCTACTGTATTAATATTTTTCATGACAGTAATAATTAATTAATTAGTTAATAATATTTTAAAATTTTTTTTTAGACTTTAGAAATGCTTTGGGATGATTTTTGCCATAAAGTTAATGATCAAGTTGCTATTCCTATGACAGCATATGTGAATCAATTCAATGAAATTCGGGTGAGTTAACATTGCTTTTTTATATTATTGTAAAATTGTTAAATGTAGTGATTCAAAAAATGATAATTCAGTCAATATAAATTTGTGATCAGTACACCCATACATTGGGGTACTTGTTCCCCTTTTCATCTATGTTGCTTTTTTTCCTAATCCAAAGAGGACTTCAAATTCCACGATCAACAAACAACAGAAAATTCATGACTTCTAGCTTATTCTGCAAATATAGAAGAAACTAATAAATGATATTTGTCCATTATCCCATCATCTATTTTTATGTAGTTATTTGTTCATTGTATTTTGTCCAAAATCATATTTCTTGTTTTCAAAAACAAGGAATGTTAACCCTGAGTGGTGCAACTAGCACCACCTTGTGGGAGCATTGATCTGACATTGAATCAGAGAAATGTTACTGCTACACTGATCATAGAGGGAAATAGAAATGTCTCCTCTGGTATAAGTATTTCACTCTATGCTGCTTGCTGACAGTGTTTTTTATTGCTTTCCCTTATTCAATGTTTATTGTAATTTACAATTACATGTAAGTATTGAAATTGGTACTATAATTTGTATACTTTGCTACTTATAAACTACAGTAGAGCGTCGTTTATCCGAATCAATTGGGGACTGGGGTTGTTCGGAAAATCGATATTTTGGATAACCGATTATGTATGAAAAAATATATTAAATTATCCCATGTTGAAATTTTTCTCTGTTGTGTGTTGCTTTGCGTTGAATTTTCGCCGATGTTAAGCCTAATGAAGACTATTGTATTGTTAAAAATTATTTTTTTATTTTGTACAAACAAAATAAGTATATTAAAAATATAAAAACAATAAAAATTCAGAAGTAAATTTAGTATCAAAATCGTAAAATATTTGAGTAGCCAAAGACATAGCCAAGATTGCAGCGCCACAGCACTGGCGAAAATTTAAATTTGCTGACTGGAATTCTTTCGGATAATTGATGTTTCGGATAAACAATGCTCTACTGTAATTATATTAACCGTATTAAGTGTTGGCCAAGCCAGAAGTTAGTAGTGACGCTAAATGAAGCTATACTGAACACTAATTAGCAAAGATTTTCTAACAGAAGAATATTTCAAATTCTACTGGCAATGCTAGTATTCATTATGACATAAGATATAGAACTTTCAGTTCCTAGCAGAAGTTGAAAAACTGGCTATGTAGTACTTTCAGAAGACATGCTATTGGGATTAGTCTTCTTGAACATTCATATAAAAGAAGAAATCAGTACAGATGAAATCATAAATTGTTGGAATGTACATGGAAGATGCAGATTAGTATTAGCATATAGGAGTTAAAATGTGAAAAATTTTACTTTGAACTGACTTTAAATCAAAATAGTTTGTTATTTTGTAATTAAATAAAGATGACAAATCCTACACGTTTGAAACTTTTTGCATAATATACAATGCCCTTTTTTTATAGCTTGTATCCCTCTTTTTCATAGTCTGCAGTCATCATTAACTAACCTATATCAAAAAAGTAAAGCAAAATTATAAAGATATATAACAAATATAGCTTTCAGACATAAATTGTTACAGAATCAATGTTACATGAGAATCTCAGCTAATGTTGATTATGTAATGATTGATGCTGAAGCAAGTCCCTGAGAAAGGCCAAAAACATTTTTTTTAATTAAATATTGTTTTGCTGGAAGAAAGTATATGTTGTTTCATGTCAGTTTATGGCCATTCCAGCTTTAGGAGAACTGTGATTTAAGGTTTAAGAATCTATATTTAGTTAAGAGGAGCCAAATATAAAAGAGAAATATAAAATAAGATTCATCAATTTTATATTTATTTTTTAGAATATGTAAAATATACATGAACTTTTTAACATTTTTGAATCAATCTGTGTTGTTATTTTTTGATTATTTTAGACATTCCTATATTTAATGAAATTTATAATTTTTTTATTATTCCAGTTAAAAATTGCAAAACGGAAAAGAAAACTTGTTGACTTTGATGGTTGTAGGCACAATTTACAATCATTACAAAATACTAGGAAACGAGATGAAATGAAAATAGGAAGAGTAAGTCTTTTATTAAATTAGTTATAGCAATATAATAAGTTTTTATAAAAATTTTGTTCAGATCTAATTATAAAACTGTCTTTTTAAAATACAATGAATTTCAAATATGCATGGTTATTCAATTTTGAAATAATGTCATCTTTATAAAACAAATCTTGATATAAATAAGTAAAACTTTAAAGCATATTTTACACATGTTTGTATTATTTTTTAGTCCATTTATGTTGGCTACTAATGTGTAAACTTAAGAGACAGAAATCAAACTGCAGTAAATAATGTTTACATGCCTATACTTTTTCTAACAATATTTTACAAATAATTTTCAGTTGAATTTAAAAAATTTTTCTTACAATGAAATGAAAATTTATTTATATTATATAGCTTAACAAGAGTAGTTAATTAATATAGATAATTTTAAATTTATTTGCCTACAGATAAATTAAAATTTGCAAGCCAAAAATTGTTGCATTGGTGACTGAGAGTGCAATTTTTCAAACATTGAATAAACTTAAATAAATTTATAAGATCAGCCTTAATTTGTGTAAATTTTCATTTATACATTTACTCTAGGAATGCATCCATATAAATCTAATTGTAATCTATCATATTACTAAAAAATAATTTTGCATTTTGAGAATAAAATCTTTATAAAGTGAATTGCATTTTTATAGTTATGTAGTTTAAGCTGAATTTTTATTGTACAGCCTATACTAATGTAAATTCTTTAATAAAATTGGTGATAACTCAAAAATAGTACATAGTCTATGTAGGATACATTTTATGATCATAATGAATTAGAATTGTGAAATTTTATATTTTAATAAATTGAGATAATGAAGGATATAAAATTAAAAGGTTTGAATTATTAGAAATTGTCTTTTTGTTGTAATCAAAATTTATTTGGCTTTTGGATATAAATGTCAATAATTGAGCATCCATTGTAAACATATTACAAATCAACAATGTTTAAATTATAAACCAACAAACATAGATCAAAAAATTGTTGTTAAATTTAATTTAAATGTAAATACAAAGCTTTTAAATATAATCAATGAAATGAAAAGTAAAAAACATTACAAAATAAATTTTTTCTTGTATTTAACTTTGGTTACCAAAAAAAGCAATTTATTTATAATAATTTATATGGTGTCAGGATTTACTAAATTTGAAAATGATAAGATTTATCATAATTACAGAACATATTTTCTTATTTTATCTATTAACTTTTAGTCTGCAATTTAGTCAAACACCATAACTTCTAAATTGCTTGAAATAAAGCTGGCAAGGGTTCTTGCTCAACTTTTCTAGCATTTGAAAGCATTAAAAGGAGTAATTTTGTTGAATAATGATAACCGATCACATACTGTATATATTTAATGAACATAATCCGTTCCAAAACTTTGCTATCTGAATTGTTTGTTAACCGATTATCAATTTTCCACAGGTTTTTATGGGAATTTGATTAATTTGTTCTGGAAACTCCAAAAAATAAAAAATATAAATAAACTTAGTAAGAAAGTACATATGTAATAATAAAAATACTTAGATACACAGTCTTGAATTTTTATTAGTCATGTTTTTTCCATTTGTGGGGTTTAAAAACTCTGTCTAATGTTGATTTGCTTTTCTCTCTTCAGGATTTTTTGGAAGTAATTAATAGCATTGTAATTGTAGAGATCCCCAAGTCTATTAACCTCAACCTGGTTTAGATGCCATTCTAAGACTGTTGTTCTGACATCCTTCCAATTCTTCAAAAAATTTTAATAGCAGATATCAGCATTAATCCTTTTTTTTTAGAAGAAAACATATCTCACTGAGTTTCTTGGTGTTCTGTCATCAGATCCGTTTCAGGTTCCATTATGAACTCTTCAATGTTCTTTTATCTTTCAGATGTGATTTTTGTTACTCCTTTAGCTGCTTGAGTCTTCTTGATTATATTGTATCTACCTTATAAGATTGAACTGCTGCCTACTGTAAGTGTTCAAGCCATACTGCCCAGCAACATCAGACATCATCAGACATCTTCTGCCCACTCTCTACCTTTGTTATTATACTCTCATTTTTTGAAAACAAAAACCAACATAAAACTTAACGAGTGCCCGCCTGACAGTTTCGTGAATACTATAAAAAAATTGTTTCTGTCAGAAAAATAAAAGGCTGGAATTACAAGGGAGAGTTTCAAAGTTTGGAGGAATACTATCCGATCAGTATATACCGGGTTGAGTGTTGATGTTAACATCTCCTGCGCTCCGAAAAGTTTTGAATTGTTGCCTGAAGACAAGGGAAGACCAATTGGTATTCATTATTTTACATTGCTTCTTCTTGTGTTTATTCTGTGAGGTATTTGTCCGAACATAAAAATCTTTTGCAAAGTGTTCATTATCTGATTTGTTCATAATCCGAACTATTCGTTAACTGATCACTCACTGTATTTATTTTAAATAGAGAAATTTAAGTTTAAAAACACTTAAGACATCAGCTCAAAATTAAAATTGTGTATAATCCATCCATATGTCATGAGATTTTATTTAAAAATAATATTTGTATTATTTATTGTTATAAAAAGACAACAAGCTTGTTTTTGAGGGTAGAGATGAGTGTTTTTTTAAAAAATTGGAAATGCAAATTACCAGTCTTACCATACTTAAGATATGACACTTAGTCCTCTTTATCTCCCTACCCCTTGGCCTTTAGCCATAAAATTTAATAGCATCAATGCCCCCATATACAGAAATAATCCTGCAAAGTTTCAAAATTTTAGGCATATCCAGTTCTCAGATATAATACAAAATAGACACCCACACCCAAGAATTTTTAAGGGGATTTTTACATTTCCAGCTGTTATGTATACATAACAAGAGAAAGTATTGGAATCATGTCAAGTTTGACCCTCTGATTTTTTTTGCAAATCTCCACATTTTGAGACTACCTGAATCCAAAAAAGAGTAAAAAAAAAAAGGTTTTGACATTTATTTCATTTAATATCCCAAGATGGGGTAAAGATTAAGAAACAAAATTTGGCATGGCGGCTTGTATATGAGGGGCATTGATGCTATTAGATTTTGGTGATGAAAGGTCAAGAAGGTGGGGAGATAGGGAGGTCACATATCTCTAGGACTTAATGAAAGTTTTATTTGTTATTAACATTTACACTTTTATAAAACTCAATCCCCCTTTCCTCAAAATTAAGCTTTTTGCGGTTTTATAGTAATTAAAAATATAAAAGTTGTTATAACAAAATCTGATAACAGATGGCAACACAGACAATTTTATTTTTTGTTTAATAACATGTTATGGTTTTTATATAAAAAAAACAACTGGAAAAGTTATGCAACTCTTATTGTTAGATTTTTTTTACGTTTTTGGGTTCATGGAGAGTCAAAACTTTCATAAGTGCAAAAAAAACAGTGTGCCAAAATTTGAAAGATCATCAAACTTTCCCTATGTTATATTCAGGAAAGTAAACATAAGTAATATTTCATAATTGTTTTTCTTTAACAGTTTATTATTTTTTAAATTAAAATAAATTATAATTTTATTTTTGTGATAAAATTGTAATTGTTATGATTCTATGTAAACCTATAACACACTATTGTTTTATAGAATAAAATAGTTAAATCTCATAATATATGTTGGAATAATGATGAGCAGTCCTTTAGAATAAAGTTTAATTATAAGTTAATCTAAAACTACACCCCTTCACTCATCCATAACTTGGCACACAGTTTCTTCCCGCCTGGAACTGTCTTACACAGGGTGTTGCCAGTTCATACATAGTTTGGGATATTCACTCTTGCTCTAGTTTAGTATTTTCCAACAATATATTTGGTTTTTCTGTTTTAATATGAAAATTTTAAATTTTTTCCATTTTTGAAGTGGTAAAATTAATTTTAGGTAGTGTTTTAAATATATCTTTCTGAAAGATATGACATTTCATAAATAACTTTTTATTATTTATTCATCAAACATGTTTAAAATGAAAATTTCCATTTGAATCAAATGAAAACATCTAACTTATTTCTAAAAATTTTGTAAGTAATTTTTGTAATATTTGTTTTATATATCAGGCTAAAGAACAGTTGGATGCTTCCAAACGTCTTTATGAAGTGATCAATAATGAACTTCTGGATGAATTGCCTGCACTTTATGATAGGTAATAAAAATTTTTTATATTAAAAGCTAAAAAATTTTTGTTAGTTAAAAGTTCTATAAATTATAATTATGCTTAGAGAAGGAACTTTTGTATTTAAACATACATTGTGATAATCAAAGCTTTGATATCTTTTGTAAGTTATAACCAATTAACGTGTAGAAAGAAATTGTTATTTATTTTTTTTTTATATAATTAAACCTGAATTGATTTTATATAATTGAGAACTGAAATTTGATTTTGACTCAAAAAGATTCAAATTAGTTTGATCAGATGATGATCTTTCATTTTATTACTTTCAGTTTATCAATTAAAAAGTGTTTTTGAGATGTTTCAAAATATTTTAAAAAATACTTTCATATGCTGCTGATAAGTTTTTTAATAAATCAGAGAAAATACTTGCTATTACATTTTCTAAAATTTTGAAATAATTTCTTAAATTTAGTAGTCAATTTTAAATGTCAGATTTTTAATTAAAAAAATTAATATTAAATACTTTTAGAGATTTTGCTAAATGCTAATGTTTTCTGACAAAATATGAGAATTGAAATTTAACATCCTTCATGCCATTTAATGTTCTCTTGATTTATCAAAATCAAAAATTTCATTACACAAGCTCTTTTGTAAGAAATAATTATAAAATATTTCCATTTCTTTTAAATGATTTAATACTTACTAAACTTATAAAAGTTTTTATTATTTATGTTTATTTTAAATATACAGTAGAGCATTGATTATCTGACTCAATTGGGGACTGGGGTTGGTCGGATAACTGAAGAAATGGATAACCGAAAAGTATGAAAAAATACATTATTAGTATATCCCATATAATTAGTATATTAGTATATCAGTATATCGCTATTAACCTACTTCGCGTTGAATTTCATCAATGTTATGCCTAACAAAATTTTTTAAAATAATAATCGCTGCTATTGTATCGTTAAAAATTATTTTTAAATTACTGTATCTTATTGCTCACAAAACAAACAACCACTTATAATTAGAAAATTAAGCCTCGTTTAAATACTGGTCTCCCTTTTATGGTCAAGCCAGTGTTGCCAGCTAAAGCACGCAAAAATTTAACAAAAATAATATTAAAGTAGCCAAGACATAGCCAAATATTGTAGCGCCACATCATTAGCAGACATTTAATTTGACGACTAGAACGCGGTCGGTTAACCAATGTGACGGTTGATCAGGATTGGATAATCGATGCTCTACTGTAATTTTAATTATATTCTTATAATGAAAAACAAAATAGTTTATGGCAAACATCATCACATAATGATATGTATTTAAGTTTTATATTTTATAACATAACACAAAATATTTTTTAAAAATTTGTTGTTTTTTTTCACTGGATTGAACTCCAGTAAAGATATTTGATATCATCTGAAAGTGATTATTGTTTAAAATTTTTTAAGTAATTAAAGTGATATTGATTGGATTTTTTTCATTTATCAAAAGATCTAGTTTGAAAATATAATACATTTTTATATTCAACAAAGATTTAATAAAAAAAAAATTAAATTTAAAAATAATAATTATTCTTAATTTAGCCGGATTCCATTCCTTGTGTCAAATCTTCAAACCCTATTTTCAGCAGAAGCTTTGTTTCATGCAGAAAAATCAAATATTTATACACATCTAACTGATATAATGGAAAAATTGTCTATTGAAAGTCAAAAAGGTAGTTACACAAATAGGCAAATTCTTCATCAAAGAAGAGGGTAAGTAAATTTTTGTAAGAAAATATTTTTGTTTAAGGTATGAAGTTATTAAAATGTAAAATATTTAATATTTTCTTTTAAATTTAAATATTAGAACTTAAAAAAATGATGATAATTATGTTCTTTAATGTTTTTAATATTGTATTATGAGAAATGAATATATCATTGACTAGACAGTTGTTTTTCAATAATAGCATTGGATTAAAAATTCAAATTAATGAAGCCTTTAATTTGTTTAATATGAAATTATTAGTTTAATTTAGATTTTGACGTTAACTAAATTAAATTAATGTGTTTCAATTTTAAATATTTAAAATTTTTAAGTATAATTGAAAAAATCTTTCACAATGTATAGTGAAGCATTATTTTTATAAATATTAGTGCACTTTTATAATATTTTAAGAACAAATTGAATATAGAAACTAAATAGCTAGAATTTGAGATATTTTTACATAAGTTACTCTAACTTGGTAGTGAAACTACAGGCAATACAGGCAGTCCCTGATCTTTTGGATATGTTTCTAAAAATGTGTATGACAGTTGAATATCTAAAGATTGAGAAATAGAATTGTATGTCATGAAGGACATTCTACTCCCAGAGAATTAAAAAAAAAAAAAACTTATAAGCTGTCTTATTAAGATAAGAATGATTTAAAAAACTTTTTTTTTCTTACAGATTAGCAAAACAGCTAATCTGTAAGATAAAATAAAATAAAATATATATATCTTAGCTATGATTTATTATTGTATACATGAATAGATTGAAATATTTAAGTTTAATAAGAAATTTATCAGTTTTGAAAAATATAGTATGAATAGTATTCATATTAAGTAGTAATATATTACATGATGATTAAAAATATTATTATTTCATTTTAAAAAAAAGAAATTTAATTATATTTAAATTATATATAAATCATTTATTATTTAGTAACTATGAAAAATACCAAAGAAATTGTATGAAATGTTTTTTTTATAAGGAATAAATAAGAATTTTGTCATTTCCAAGATATTTGTCAGTTTTTTTACTGATGCATAAACACTAAAAACTTTATTGATATAACAGTAAACAGATTAAAAAAATTCAGTCATCAAATCTGTTTGTAATTTCATCATTGCTATGTATTGAATTTAATTTCATTATAAATTTAGAAGTAATTGTTTGATTAAATGTTGAGCATTCCAATAGCATCTCAAAAAACATTTAATGAAGAATATTTCTTACATTTTTGATTTCATTTTGTAACTTAATATATTCTTATTTATAATATTGATTAAAGTGTCAAATTTATTTTTAAAAATTTATTTTTTTATTTGATTTGGATTCAGATATTGTTTTTCTATTATAGATGAAAGTATAAATTTATTTCCAATGCTAAATAATTGTCAGCTGTCTAGAAAGATGAATTAATTAATATAAATAATATCTTTTTAATCAAAATTAAATTTTGGGTTTTGTATCAGTCCTCTTGCTTGTGTTAATCTCATAATTCAAATGACAAAACATTAAAAGCAAAGCTACTAGAATAATATAAATTCTTATAACAGAATAAATGGATACTTATTAATGCTATATATGTATTATTGCTTAAATTTAGTGATATTGAATTTTATAATATATTTAAAACAAAATTTTTAAACTTACATTTTATAAATGTTGCTATTATTATAATGCTATAATCAAATCTGTGAAGGAATTTTATGAGCTACTTATTTTCTCAATATTAATTATAAAAATAAGTATTAATTATAAATTATAATAT